CTCATTATCTAAATCATTGATGAAGATATTGAACAGAACCGCACCCAGAACTTATCCCTGCAGGACCCCACTCGTTATGCCCTTCCAGCATGACTGTGAACCACTGATAACTACTCTCTGGGAACAGTTTTCCCACCAGTTTTGCACCCACTGTATAGTTGCTCCATCTAGGTTGCTAACCCTAGTTTGTTTAAGAGGTGGCCATGGGAGACAGTATCAAAATCTTTACTAAAGTCAAGATATAACACGTCTACCACTTCCCCCCCATCCCAAGGCTCGTTACCCTGTCAAAGAAAGCTATCAGGTTTTTTGACATGATTTGTGTTTGACAAATCCATGGTGACTGTTTCTTAGCACCTTATTATCTTCTAACTGTTTGCAAATTGACTGTGTAATTATTTGCTCCCTTATCTTTCCGGGTACAGAAGTTAAGTTGACTGGTCTGTAATTTCCCAGGTTGTCCTTATTTCCCTTTTTATAGATAGGCACTAGATTTGCCCTTTTCATCTCTCTCATGTTCCATGACTTTGCAAAGATAATTGCTAATGGCTCAGGTATCTCCTCAGTCAGCTCCTGGAGTATTCTAGGATGCATTCCATCAGGCCCTGGTGACTTGAAGACCTCTAATTTGTCTAAGTAATTTTTAACTTGTTCTTTCCCCATTTTAGCCTCTTCTGCGCCTACCTTGTTTTCACTGGCATTCACTACATTAGACGTCCAATCAGTACCAACCTTCTTGGTAGAAACCAAAACAAATAAGTCATTAAGAACCTCTGCCATTTCCACATTTTCTGTTATTCTTTTGCCACCGTCAATGAGTAATGGGCCTACCCTGTCCTTCATCTTCCTCTTGCTTCTAATGCATTTGTAGAATGTTTTCTTGCTACCCTTTATGTTTCTGGCTGGTTTGATCTCATTTTGTGCCTTGGCCTTGTTCATTTTGTCCCTACATACTTGTGTTATGTGTTTATATTCATCCTTTGTAATTATACCTAGTTTCCGCTTTTTATAGGACTCTTGATTTTTAGATCACTGAAGATCTCCTGGTTACGCCAGGGTGGTCTCTTGCCATACTTCCCATCTTTCCTACGCAGTGGGATAGTTTCCTCTTGTGCCCTTAATACTGTCTCCTTGGAAAACTGCCAACTGTCTCCAGTTGCTTTTCCTGTTAGACTTGCTTCCCATGGGACCTTACCTGCCAACTCCCTGCATTTGCTAAAGTCTGCCTTCTTAAAATCTATTGTCTTTATTTTGCTGTTCTCCCTCCTACCATTCCTTAGAATCATGAACTCTACCATTTCATGATCACTTTCACCCAAGTTGCCTTCTGCTTTCAAATTCTCAACCAGTTCCTCCCTATTTGTCAAAATCAGATCTAGAAGAGCCTCCCCGCTAGTAGCTTTCTCCTCCTTCTGAAAGGAAAAATTGTCTCCGATACAGTCCAAGAACTTGTTGGATAATCTGTGCCCTGCTGTGTTATTTTCTCAACAGGTGTCTGGGTAGTTGAAGTCCTCCCATCACCACCAAGTCCTGTGCTTTGGATGATTTTGTTAGTTGTTTAAAAAAAAGCCTCATACACCTCTTCTTCCTGGTTAGATGGTCTGTAGTAGACCCCCACCCTGACATCACCCTTGTTTTTTTACCCCTTTTATCCTTACCCAGAGACTTTCAACAAGTCTGTCTCCTATTTCCATCTAAATCTCAGTCCAAGCATACACATTTTTAATATATAAGGCAACACCTCCTCCCTTTTTTCTCTGCCTGTCCTTCCTGAGCAAGCTGTACCCTCCTATACCAGTATTCCAGTCATGCCTATTATCCCACCAAGTCTCTGTGATGCCAACTATGTCATAGTCGTGTTTAGTTATTAGCATTACGAGTTCTTCCTGCTTATTCCCTGTAGAGGAGCAGACTCACCCCTGCGGCGCCTCCTGCTGGTGACTTCTGGGAATTAGCTCTTCCAGCATCCTGGAGCACCCCCTGCAGGCCGGTGATCTGCTTGTCCTCTAGCCCCCCATGTCCCTCCTGGACCCCCGTGCCCTTGTATCTGGGGTGCTCCCCCTGGCAGTACACCCCTCAGTACGAGGGTCTCCCCTCCCAGGGGAACCCCCACCCACTATCCCTACCTCACCTCAGGATAAGGCTACTGCCAGTCTCCAACTAGCCCCCGCTCCCTGGGGCAGACTGCAGTATAGGCCACTCATCATCAGCAAGGTTGGGTTTGGACCTGCTGCCTTGGCCTAGCCCTGGGCTGCCCTCCACAACCCCCAGTACCCCTTGGCCTTCTACTAGGCCGCAGTCTGGGGCTTTCCCGGCTGGAGCGCCCCAGCCTGTCCTCAGGTACCCTGTCTCTAGCTCCCTACAGCCAGGCCCTTCTCTCTCTGAACACAGAGAGAGACTCTTGGCCTTTGGCTCACAGCCTTTTTATATAGGGCCAGCTGAGGCCTGATTGGGGTGTGGCCCAGCTGCAGCTGCTTCCCAATCAGCCCAGCTTAGCCGCTCCCAGCCACAACCTTCCCCCAGGG